GATTCAGGGGAGGACTGAATAAGGAAGTGGAAGTCAGCAGAACTTTGGGTCTATTCTTCTTGGGAAGGAAGGAGTTTGCGAAGGAATCATTCAAGTCTATGGAGGAAAGGAATGGGGAGAGATGTGATTTAGACCAATAAAAAATAGTAGAATAATTTAGATTGTAGCAAAAGAAGTAGAGAAGTAGAAGAAGACAAGAAGAAGAAGAAGGAAGAATGGAGAAAGTTGAAGGAGTTCGRTAATCTCCTCTTTTCCCACTCTAATCTTTTATTAATCTTACTTAAGTTGCATAATTTACAGGTCTGCCCTTAAGTGGGCGTCCACCTCATCGGCATACTTAGAAAACATAAACAAGAATTAAAGGCCCATTAAGAAAAGGTCCATTAAGAACAAATAGCAAGAAAGAATTAGTCAATAAGACACTAATGGGCTAGGACCCATTCAGCCCAGTCTCTATACACCCCCCTCAAGCTGAACATAGATATCAATCATGCCCAACTTGCTTATATAGTGAACAAACCTTCCTTTAGGAACACCTTTTGCCAAAACATCAGCCAACTGTTCTTCATAAGCAATAAATGATAGTCAGACTTCTCTTGAAGCAACTCTCTCATTGGCTTCTCATAGTCTATACCCAGTTCTTCTAAAAGTGAACTTAACCACAAAAGTTCTAAAACTCCATGTGCCATTGCCCTGTACTTTGCTTCAGCTGAGGATCTAGCCACTAAAAATTGCTTCTTACTCCATGATACAATGTCCCTTGCTACCATAGCACAGTAACTTGAAGAGGACCTCCTATCATCAATACATCCAGCCCAGGCAACATCAGTCTATGCTTCCAGCTTCATGTGTCTATGCTTAGCAAACAAGATACCTTTCCCTGGAGTCCCTTTTAGATAGCATAGAACCCTCTTAGCAGCTTCTAAATGTGTATCTCTAGGAGAATGCATGAACTGGCTAATTACACTAACTGCATAGGAAATATCTGGTCGAGTCATGCAAAGGTATAATAACTTTCCAACCAGTCTTTGGAACACTCCCTTACCAGTCAACAGTTCACCATCAGTAGTTGACAGGTTATGATTGAGGTCTATAGGAGTAGAAGCTGGTTGGGCACCTAGTTTGCTAGTCTCAGCAAGAAGATCAAGAACATACTTCCGTTGAGAAATGAAAATACCATCCTTAGATCTGGCAACTTCAATTCCCAAGAAATATCTGACTTCTCCCAAGTCTTTAATTTCAAACTCAATGTTAAGAAAACTTTTGAGACGAACAACTTTCTGAGTATCATTACTAGTAACCACAATATCATTAACATAGACAATCAGAAGGGTCACTAAGGAATCTCTCCTCTTAACAAACAGGGTATGATCCGACTGAGTCTGTGCACCCAAAAGTAACAAGAGCAGCCCGAAATCTGTTAAACCAGGCTTTAGGAGATTGCTTAAGGCCATAAAGGGACTTCTTTAGTTTATGGACCTTCCCTTGCATCTCCTTCCCATACACCCCTAGAGGTAAAGACATATAAACCTTTTCATGTAGGTCCCCATTCAAGAAAACATTTTTTACATTGAATTGATGAAGTGACCAATGAAAATTAGTAGCTAAAGATATCAAAACTTGAACTGAAGTCATTTTGGCCATTGGGGCAAAAGTTTCTAGGTAGTCAACACCATACATCTGAGTGTATCCTTTAGCAACTAAACGGGCCTTAAATCTTTTAATAGTACCATCTGAATGATACTTGATAGTGAACATCCACTTACAGCTAACTGGTTTCTTTCCCTTAGGCAAATCCACAATTGCCCAGGTATTGTTCTTATGCAAAGCATCTAATTTAGTCACCATAGCATCCCTTTGTTTTGGTTTGGACAAGGCTTCTAGGACAGATCTAGGAGTCACATGTGTGGAAACAGAGGCAAGGAAGGAATAGTAGGAAGGGGAAAGAAGGCTATAGGATAGGTGTTTGGAAATGCATTGAGCTGTACATTTCTGTTTGCCTTTGCGAAGAGCAATAGGGAGATCAAGGTTAGGGAAGGTATCAAAAGTGGTAGAAGAGGGCTGACTTGTTACATTAGTAGTGATGGGAGGTGCAAGAGGTTCATCTGAAGGTGTAGAAACAACTTGCATGTCCCTGAGTCTTTATCTCTGGTACCACCTTTGGATAATAAGATGGGAAGAAAATGCGGGAGGATGAGTAGGAGGAGGAGGGGGAGTAGGAACATGAGAATAAGAGCCAATAGAGGACTTGATGGGAAATTGTGAAACTAATAACCTTCTACCAGTCTACTGTTCTTTATCTTCAACATATGGGATCTTTTCTTTTCTTTTCTTTTTTTTTTTTGATTGTATGTCTGTAGCTTGAACAATTTCCTCTTGATTAACCAACCACTCCCTCTCCACCTTCAGTCTTGAAATGCTATTCTGTTTTTATCCTAGCTTTAGCATAATAGTGGAAATATGCTGTACTTATGTCTTCTGCCTTGTTCCACAAATCCCTAGATTTGCCCCTCCGACACACTTCTTCTTGTGAATTAACTCAGTCATCCCTGCCTTAAATCCTTCTTTTTCTACTTTGGCCACTCTACTTGGTTGCCCCAACTCCTCCATCCTCTTCAACTGCACCATTTTACTTAGAATTTCCTTTCCACTAACTTCAATGTTACCAAATGAGTTCTTGTTCCAGTTCCTAATCTTGCCTCTTAGATCTTGTAACTTCAACAAGTGTTCTTGTTCTACCACTTCTCATGCTTAATTCTTCCCACCAATTTTCTACTAATTGAAGAAATTCAGGATGCTTCAACCACATGTTTTCWATTGTAAAAAGCACCAATCTCTTCTCCACCAAAAATTCTCTTAATAAAATTGGTTTATGGTCGGAAAGAGGGTTAACCAAGGCATCTTGAACCAAATCTACATGTAGTTCCTCCTATGATGATGAAAATAGAAATCTATCCACCCTAAGCATAGTAGGTAGTTCTTGTCCATTAGACCAAGTGTACCTTGTGTCATTCATTGGGGGATCAATCAAACTCATTGATGAAATAAAGTTTTCAAATAGCCTTATCCCTGAAGATAGTCTGTGATCTCTCTCCCCTTTTATTTCATGTACTCTTCTAACAATATTGAAGTTGCTCCCCAATTTCTTCTAGTTCCATCCAAAGTATACTCTCAGTCTCTTCATTAGGACCATGCACATTGGTTAGCAACAAATTTTCTCCATCTTCTTTGCTCTGAAATTTAATTGATTAAAATAATCTTTTAAAAACCTCTATTTTGGTGAAAACTTTTGGGTCCCATCTAGTAATTATTTCCACCTGATAAACCTTTTTCTTCTATCATCTTCAACTCACCAATATTAGGTCCCCAGCTTTTGTTCCTTCATATCATATCTATTTTTTTTTTCTTTTTATTTTTTACAATTTTGATTCTTTAATCATCAAAATCTCCCACCACCTCCCTATTCCTCTCCACTTCTCTTAATTTTCTTCTTTCTTTTTTCCTCTAGGCCATAGTTGTCAAGGTGATGCCTAGATGGGTGCGTAGGTGATGTCTAGGTGATAAGGTGTTCTTGGAGGGTTGCCACACCCAGACACCAACATATTTATATGTAAGACACCACATAATATTTTTATATTTTTATTTTATTTTATTAATAGTATTACAATGGATAACTATGTCTTCCCCCATCTTTTGATTAATAAATTTTCCCTTTTCTTTTTGAAAAAAAAAATACAATAGGTATTGTTAGACTAAATTATTCATATTATGGATTTATAGTATTAATATTATTATTCTTATACTACTTTGAGGGTGGGCCTTGGTGCAATGGTTGGGTTACTCCATTGTGATCTCGGTGACCGGGGTTCAAATCTTGGAAACAGCCTCTCTGTATGTGCAGGGATAAGGCTGCATACATTTGTCCCTCCCCACACCCCACATTGGCGGGAGCCTCGTGCATTGGGTGCCCCTTTATTCTTATACTAGTTTCTTTTAATTATTTTCTTATTTGTTTGGGTTCGATCAACACACAAGCCGGTGACATGGTCTTGAACACTTTAGGACTTTAAAACTTGAATTGATAAGTAAGCAATAATTTGAAGATTTTATCCAATTGAGACACAAGAGCAACCAATAGGACTTCTTGCTAGGACCAAAACAAGGGCTCATCCCTTATGGTTTGCATGTTTTTCTTTCTTATTTTTCTTCTCATAATTATGTTGATTTTCTATCTTTTGATATGGGCTTTATACTTATTTCATGAGGATTATGGTAATTATTAGTTAAACATCACTGCTTATTACTATGAAGCCTAAGGGAACTACCCTAGGATTTATACTTTTTTATTTTAAAAACATTTCGCCTAGGTGACTAGGCAACAAGGTGCTCCCCTATTGCCTAGGTTCACCTTGGTGCCTTGAGACTCTGCTCTAGGCTTTCAAAAATTCTCTTAGCTGCTTCTTAACCACCCCAAATGAAATATATCCAACTTCTTCCTAATCTGTACTTTCCTCCTAACGATCTCCTTTAAGTCCACTTCGCTTCTGACTTTACTTGCCTCATTTATAGGCGCCTCTACTACACCATCTTGACCAATTATTGTAGTTTCAAGAGTAGCTTTCCCAGAATTACTGTCCTCTATTGGTCTCGTGCGGTAGAATTTTCTTCTTTAAACTCTTCTACCAGAACCAGAGGGAGCAGCCTTTCTTGCTTCAGATGCCTTTTCTTGGATATCTTGATCTTTTAGACTATATTTTAAGCCTTCATCTTCTCTTTCACCACTCGTTGCCCTTGACATCCTATGTTTCACTGAGAGAGAACCTTTAAGTACCTCCTTATCTATATTATGCGAGCTGCCTACCTTCTCTGCATCAACTTGTACATCTTCATTAAAATTAACAGCTGTACTCTTTGGACCTTCAACATATTCTTCTGTACCCTTCACCTCAGCGATATCTTGAATGTGATTTCCTTCCACAACCTGAGACAACACATTCTTCAATCTCCTTTCTGATCTCAGTCTACTGTTTTGCCACTGCATTGCCTGCATCATCTTCAGCCTGGACTTCTTTGTTAGCTTCTCCCATATCAACTCTTCTTTGCTTATTATCTTTGTTCTATTTGGTTATAACCCATGGTTATTTCTCCTTGTCCCTTCAATATGTATTACTGGATTTATTAGGTTGTTAGATCTTCCACCTTACTTCAGTAGCGTGACCCTACAAATGCCTTCTACTTCTTATATTTCTAACGTTATATCTATGAGCCTGAGGCCCATATCTTGGCCCAGTTCTTCTTTGGGCCCTCCAACTGCCCTTTTTATTTCATTTATCGGATGCACGAGTCTTGGTACTAGATACCTTTTTAGTGTGGTCTCAACCATTCATCTCCTCTAATTTCCTATGCAACATCTTTGTTCATTGGAAATAATTTGTTTGTTGCTATTCTTTTTATGAAACTTGTTCGTCCCTATTGCTAATTACTTTTTTGCCTTTTGTAAAACTCTCCTCTTCAAACTGGGTTTTCCAACTGTTTGTCTTCTCTGATGTTCCTGCAAACTCACATCTGTTAAACACAAGTCAAACACTACCTTGCAACACGTTTGATCCTTCCCTTCTACAACTAGATCAATATTGAAGTATTCTCCTGCTAAAATTAACTGCATTGATGTGAGAATTACTTCTTTATTTTTAGTTTCTATTAGGATTCTTTCCTCATAGGTTTTCTCCCATAACCTATTCTTATGATCAATCCTCCTGAACCTTCCAAAAGTATTTCCAATGGTGATGAAGGTTTGAAGACACCATGCACTGCAAGGAATTCCAATTAAATTAATCCAAAGAATTACCTCCCAAAAACTTCCTTGACTGTTCCAGCTGATGGGTACCACCTTCTTAAGCACACCTTTACAGCCCATTCCTGAACCTGTTCTTCATCTGGGATTCTTGGTCTGTACTCTGTACCAATGAATCTATCAATCAAACATGCATCCAACAACTCCAATGTCTGTCTGACCTTTCTGACATAGATGACAGTCACGTTTGCCCTTCAGTCTAGGGTGCTCCATTGCTTGATACTTAATCTCCTCTGGATCATTGGTACCAAGACTCAGACCAGCATTCTTTTTAGGTGGTTGAAAATTGAGAGAGAATTTTGGCAAGTGAGCTAAGAGTTATCTTGCAATCAGAATCTTTCTACACCTTTGATGCTTCTCTACTTTACTATCCCTTTCTTCCAAATGTTTCTATCTAATGATTGTTTGCTCTATAAATTTAAATATTTAACATTAACATTTCTTTTCAGCTTATGTTGTAATCTCATAATGGTGGGGATCACTATGTTATAACTAAGATGCTTGTTGTTCTCTTTCGTTGCAGATGGATATTGAACCATGCATCGCCATTGATTTCAACATTGAAGATATCCTCGTTGTTTTTCTAATGCTACTTGTACTTGTCATCTATGTTTATAAAGAATTTATAATTCAGTTGCTTTTATTTGAGCTCTAGGATTTAAAGTGACAAAATTATGTTTTTCTAAGGCACATGATATTCCTACATCAATCAAGCATCTTATGCCCAAAAGTGAATTAATGAATTATTATATTATAGGTGCGTTTAGACAACATGATTCTTTGGTGGTCACATTGTGAGTTCATGTAACAATAGACAGATTCATCCCAAAGGAGTAGTGATGCTGAATTTTGATGGCTGTTTTTTAGGGAGTCCAAGATCCTCATGGTTTGAAGGTACCTTTGGGATTGAATTAAGAAAGATCCTACTTTCTTTTTCTCAGTTCTGTTGGTTTGTGTAGCACTATAGGGAAGAGATAAAAAAACACTGTTCAAGGACTAGGCTCAACAAAACTTTACGTGTAGGTCACATTGAGGTTGAAAGGGATTTGCAAGTGATCATGGTTGGTTTAGAGATAAGGCTGAAGGTCCTTGTGACCTCTAACATGAGAAATTTAATCTATGGTGTCAAATGTGAACATCTTGCTGAGGTGATGTGATCTATGCTTCCATTTTATGCCTAAGGCTTTTCTCTAGATTTCTGTTCCCTTTGTTCTTCCCTCTCCTCTTCCTAGAGCCTTCTATCTTTAGTAGTTATAGTGTTGTTATAGTTCTTTTTCTTGGTTTAAGTTGGTAGGTTTATAAACTAGTACTTTGTGGCTACGTTGTCCTTTCTTGGAAGGCAATAGTTGGTGTGTTTTCTCTAATTAAATCAGGAATGATGTCCCTTTTAGGGACAAGGTCAAAAAACTCAAAATTTGGGGAGATCTTTGGGTTGAGGAGATGATGCCTTTGAAAGATATGTACCCTTTTCTTTTCTCTATGTGAAACTTCAAAGGAAATTCTGTTTCTGAATTCATTGTTTCTTCAGATTCTTTGAAAGGTTTTGATTGGAATTTGGGGTTTAGGAGAAAATTTAGAGTGTCTGAGTTTCAGTTGGTGGCTAATCTGTCACTAAACCAGTTTGGAAGAGAGGAGAGAGAGTTTCAGGGGTGTCTAAACAGTTTACTCGACCCCCATCCCAAAGAGCCATATATATTAAATAATATTAAGAATAATTACAGAGTACTTGGAGGACTAAAAGATAAAAAAAGGAAAATACAAAAGAGTCCTTAGAGGGGCTGAAATATAAATACAGAGAATATGAAAAGAACAAGACTATGTACAATGGGAACTATAGTAATACAACACATCAGGTTTCTTCATACTCCCCTGATGCTGGAACATAAGCATCAGTTTGCCTACAAGAAACAGATGTCTAGATCTTGTCATGGGCTTCGTAAATATATCAGCAATCTGCAAGTCTGAAGCTACATGAGGAAGAGAGATGGAGCTAGCAAGAAACAAATCTCTAATGAAGTGACAGTCCACTTCAATATGTTTAGTCCTCTCATGGAACACTGGATTGGATGCAATCTTTACGTCACTAGTGTTATCAGCATAGAGAGGAATAGGAATGGGAAGATGGACACCAAGATCAGCAAAGAGAGATTGGAGCCAAACGATCTCATTGTAGACAGAAGACATAGCCCTATATTCAGCCTCTGTAAACTATTTGTTGTTTCTTGCATTTCCAAGAAATGAGGGAGTCTCCCATAAAGACACACCACCCTGAGGTAGACCGTTTGGTTTCAAGGCAACCTGCTCAATCTGCGTCAGCATAGGCCCTCAACTGAATAGGAGAAGAGGAAGAAAAGAATAGTCCCGGAGATAAAGTACCACRAACATAACGAATAATCTGATGTACAACAGTCATGTGGGGTTGGCGAGGAGTTGAAACAAATTGGCTCACAACTTGAACCGCACCAGAGATGCCTAGACAGGTTATGGTGAGATAAATGAGAGAACCAACAAGTTGCCGATTTTGAGTAGCATCAGGAAGCAAGTTACCTTCTGTCTTAGACAACTTAACGTTAAGCTTTGGAGGTGTATCAACCTGTTTGGAGTTTGTAACACCGGCAAGTTTAATAAGATCAGGAGCATATTTCTGTTGACAAATAAAGTAGCCTTGATTACTATGTTGAACCTTTAATCCCAAGAAAAAAGGGGACCCAAGTCTTTCATATGAAAGGAATTGTGAAGAAGAGATTTGAGTTCCTGAATTTCATCCTCATCATTTCCTGTCAATAACATATCATCGACATACAACAGAAGAATTGTGATTCCTTGAGATCTTTGATGGATAAAGAGAGTGATTTGAAGTACTCTGTTTATATCTTGCACCAACAACATCCCGAAATTTCTCAAACCATGCCCGGGGAGTCTGTTTAAGGCCATATAGGGACTTCAACCGATAGACAGGGAGGGATCACAATTGTACCAGGTGGAGGTTTCATGTACACTATCTCCTTTAGTTCACCATGAAGAAAGGCATTCTTCACATCTTGCTGATAAGTAGCTCATACTTGAAGAAAGCTAGTGGATTTCTGTCTTAAAGAAGAAAGGGGAGAAAAGATCTAGGTTTTGAAGAGAAGAAGGGAAGAGGAAGAGAGGAGAAGAGAGGAGAAAAGGGGTTCGGTTGATGAATTCTGACGCCCCATAAACTTCATTATATAGTTTTGGTTCCTTACAAGAATAGGAGATAAAAGATAAATTCTAGTCCTAATAAAACAAAGATAAATTCTAGTCCTAACAAAACAAAACATAACATGGATAAGGCTAGCCGACCCAACTTAAAAAATAATTAAAATAACTAGGTGTGGGTATGGAACCACACACACTAGAGGCTAAGTGTGGGAATGGAACCCCACACTCGTGGCTACTAACTATTTCTACACTCCCCCTCAAGTTGGGAGTAGATATTTGTCATGCCCAACTTGTGTAAATCTGTCTCTAATTTGATTTTTGTGTCTGCTTTGGTGAAGAGATCAACTAACTGCATGTCTGAGGCAATGTAAGGAAGGCACACTTCTTGATGTGCAACTCGCTCTCGGATAAAATGTTTGTCAACCTCGATATGCTTAGTCCTATCATGCTGTATTGGGTTGTGGGCAATATTAATTGCAGCTTGATTATCGCAATACAACATCAGAGGCTTCTCATAATCAATTTCCAACTCATTAAGCAAGGATCTCAGCCATAACACTTCTGCAACACCATTGGCCATGGATCTGTGTTCTGCTTCTGCACTGGAGCGAGCAACAATATTCTGTTTTTTGCTTCTCTAGGAAACAAGATTTGCTCCTACAAATGCACAATATCCAGAGGTGGACCTCTTATCATCAACACATCCAGCCCAATCTGCATCTGTATGCACTTCTATTTTCATGTGATCACTATTCCTGAAGAGTATACCTCTCCCTGGACATCTCTTTAAGTAGGCAAGAATTTTTTCTACTGCAAGGAGGTGGGTGGTCCTAGGAGAATGCGTGTATTAGCTAACAATACTAACAACATAAGAAATATTTGGCCGAGTTAGGCAGAGATAAAGAAGTTTCCCAACCAGCCTTTGGTACATAGCCCTGTCCTCAAGAAGTTCTCCATTTTCTACACTTATTTTGTGGTTAAGCTCAATAGGTGTGTTAGCAGGTTTCACTCCTAACTTTCCAGTTTCTTCTAATAAGTTCAAAACATACTTCCTTTGAGAGATAAAAATGCCATGCTTAGATCGGGCTACCTCAATTCCTAGGAAATAGTGCAATTCCCCTAAGTCTTTCACTTCAAATTCCTTGTGAAGATGCTGTTTAAGAGTTTCAATTTCACTAATATCACTCCCTATTATCACAATGCCATCTACATAGACCGCAAGTAGAGTTGGGGAAAGACCTATCTTTTTAAAGAAGAGAGTGTGATCTGACTGAGCCTGTATGTAGCCGAATTTGTCCAAAGGCAATCTAAACCTATCAAACCAAGCTCTCAGAGATTGTTTCAGCTCATACAAGGCCTTTTTCAAAAGGCAAACTTTCTTTCTTGCTTTTGTACTATAAAAACCAGGTGGTAACTCCATGTATACCTCCTCTTGCARGTCTCCGTTGAGGAAAACATTCTTAACATCTAGCTGAAATAGTGGCCATGAGAAGTTCGCAACAATGGATAGTAGGACTCTGATAGTGTTCATCTTTGCAACAGGTGCAAAGGTTTCCATATAGTCTATGCCATAAGTTTGTGTGAGTCCCTTTGCAACCAATCTGGCTTTATACCTCTTTACAGTAGCATCGTCATTATATTTCACAGTAAACACCCATTTTCATCCAACAGGTTTCTTTCCTTCAGACTGGTTAATTAGTCCCCATGTGTTGTTCTTAACAAGAGCATCCATCTCTACTTGCATTGCTTCCTTCCATTCAGGTATCAAAAGGGCTTCTTGTGCTTTTCTGGGTATAGGAATAGTAGCAATAGATGCCAGGTAAGATCTATAGGATTTTGAGAGACAATCATAGGAAAGGAACTTGGAGATGCAATGGGTAGTGGATGAGGTGCAACGGTGCTTCCCTTTACAAATTGCAATTGGAAGATCAAGGTCATCTGATGGTGAGGGTTGTGCATCTGTAATAGTGGGATCAACTGTGGGAGCAGTAGTAGTGTCTGGATCTGGGGTTGTAGAAGATGTTGGAATTGACCTGGATTGCTGTTGAACAAAAGAATCAACTTGCCTCCACCACTTTCTGTGATACACTCTTAACTCTCTGCATTTTTGACAATCCTCACCCTCTTTACAACTCTCCCCCTTGGTAACTGGGACAGGTAAAGGAACTTTTGGGGCTGAAACTGAAATCCCTTCTTCACTACTCTCCCCCTGAGGAGAAGCCCTATAGTAGTAGGGCATATCCTCAAAAAAAGTAACATTCATGGACACAAAACGTTTCCCTGAAACAGACTCATAACAACAATATCCCTTTTGATTTTGTGTATACCCAAGGAAAATACACTTAGTAGCTTGGGGATCAAACTTGGAGCGATGAGGTCCAAG